AAGTGGAGGAAGTGGAGGCTGCTCATCATTCGTGCCATCAAGAAAACGCTGACTAGCTTGCCACCAATCAGTGGCAAGCTCAGCCTCCGTGGGTGTCAGTCTCATTAATGGAATGTTGGCCTCCTAAAAATATAAAAACTCAAACAAAGTTAAACGTCTAATATTAATAACTTGTTTATATATGATAGTATTTGTGTTAACTTACATTATTTATTGTCGCATATGGTATTAAGTCTTCCCAATCCAACAGACGTTTCCTCTTCCAGGAAATAGCCCTGGGAATATCATTTGAAGTTTTTATTGCATATGTCTTCATGGCGGGAAAGGCCTCGAATATCCAAATCTACAAACAATATAATAACAAACATTAGTAATTGTTAAATAATTAATTATAATTTTGAAAACATTATATAGAAATTCTTACCTTAAAGGCCCAAACAAAGCCTGACAAAGTGTATTTCGACCCATCGCCCCGCAAACTTTTGCGGTCATCAAAGGCAGACGACAACTTAGTCCAGGTAGCTTTCCATATATACGAACCCCACGGAAACAGATTCCATGCATTTAGGTCCTCTACCAATAATATTAGCTCCTGAGGAATAGTGTCTGGCCTCTCTGCCTAAAAAGTCGGCATACAAAAGTAGTAGAAGGCATACTCGGACAACATCGACGTCATTCATCCGAATAAAACCATCTTTCTTATTAAACAATTTCTTCATGTCGTCGACGTGTAAGTTCGGCTTCTCTATTGACTCATCAGGAAAAACCCTGGATAACCATGATGGGCGGGTGATATGACGAGTGTACCGGCCTACATCATCGTGTCCGAATCGTAGACCAGTGATTAAGCAGAACTCCTTCCGCCCAAAACAAGTATACGCCGGTGGAAAATGAAACCATATCTCTTCCTCACCACGTTGTATACTGTCGGGTAGATCGCTAGTCATGGTCTGAAGCCACAAATGGGTCAAACTAGCATCTCCACCCGGATGTTGTACTCTCAGCCATGGCCCGAAGCAGGTTTCTTCAAACAAATTTCTTTGTGCAGGTGAAAGCTTCGAAGCAATTGTAGTGGCTAGGCTAACTTTATTCCTTAATGTCAATGAAGCCGAAAAAAAATTCTACAAAAAAAATAAACATACCAAGTTAGATATACCAAAAATTACACTGTCAAGATATACCAAAAACAAAACAATAAACATAAATAGTAGTTATTCTTGAAACTAAAATTTGCAACATGTTTTTGTCTTTTGGTTGAAATGAAAATCACAACGAGATAATGAGAATCGCAACGCGGAAATGACTATCGCAACGAGAGAATCGCAACGCGAAATGACTATCGCGACCAGACAATCGCAACGCGAAATGAAAATCGCAACCGCGAAATAAAAATCGCAACCGCGAAATGAAAATCGCAATGCGATTTTTGTTTCGCGTTGCGTTTTTTATTTCGCGTTGGGATTATCTCGTTGCGATAGTTATTTCCGCGTTGCGATTTTCATTCTCGAAACTATTCTTCTTCTGCATTACTTCAACCAAAAAACAAAGCAAAGACAAATACTAACTTCACAGGCTAAACAGTTTAGCAGTATTGGCAGCAATCGAATGAATTTAATAAGAAATCTAAGTGAAATGGTTAATCTATTATTGAAATTACCAGTAAACTTATCATCAATCTCAATATGAAAAACCTAAAATAATGCAAAAATTTCAAAATAAAAATAAAAAAACTAACCCTCGGAGGTTGATTTTCCATTTCTGAATGATTGTGAGGGATTTTTGACTGTGAATGGTTGTGAGGGATTTCGCCGGCGATGGGGACGAAAATCTTCGGAGATGGGGACGGATTTCGCCGTAGAGAGTGAGAGATGGAGATGGGACTGAGTGTTGTGTTTTTGGGTTTGAGGTTATGAGTTGCGATTACTGTGGACGGTTCAGTTTCCGATTTATTAAGAAAAAAATCGTGTTTGGAATTTGAAAAAAAAAAATACGCGTTAATACGAATGGCGCTATGTAAATCGCGTTGCGAAAGTCAGTATCTCGTTGCGATTTTGTATTATCGCATTACGATAGTAAGTATCGCATTGCGATAGTCAGTATCGCATTGCGATTTTCCCAATTCGCGTTGCGATTTACTTATTCGCATTGCGAATTGGGAAAATCGCAACGACATTGTATACCATCGCAACGCGATTTCCAACTATCGCAACGCGAAATGCAACGTGAATTTCGCGTTGCGATAATGGAGATCGCGTTGCGAATTAGCGATCGCATTGCGATTTTGTTGGTCATTTTGGCAAATCCGGAAAAAGTTGGTTAAAATCGTATATTATATGGGATTTTTGGTCACTGAGGTTATTTTCTCATTTATGAATCTATATAATTTTTCGAGATCTACACATTGGCAAGTATCCGAAGGCACTTTATCGTTATTTTTTTGAGGAAAATATCATCTTGACCTTTAATTTATTTTTAGAAAAGAATAATGTTAATTGAAATTTTAACCATATTTTAGAAATTATTGAGTAAAAGATGATATTTTGGTAAAAGGACTTTTAAATCAGAAGTTTCGTGAATAGACAAATTTATTTGTGATATTTTTTTTACAATTTTTATTTGTGATATTTAGATTATTCACAAACAACTATAAAATATATTGTTACGTGCCCTTTTATTAATTTAACATATTAATAGTTAAATATTTTATTGTTCCACATGTATCACAATAAAAAAGCACATTATCTTCATGCAATCTAAATTCAAAATTAAAAAATAAAAACATTAACATCAATTAAACATGCTTAAAATGTTCAATCATATATATATATAAGTTTGTAAATGAATTGAATGAACACAAATAAGATTATATTATTGTTTGTTCGTTTAGTTTTAACCAAATAAATGAATGAACACGAACAACTAAACAAACAAAATTTTTTGTTTGTGTTTGTTCTTTAAAATGATAAACGAACACAAACGAATGTAAGTGAACATAAATCACAAAAACAATAATCACATAAAATCCATTAATATAAGTTGCAACTTCAGAGTTGATTTTCGAATATAAACAAACGAGTCATTTATTCGTGTTTGTTCATTTAATTAAACGAACAAAATTTTTTTATTTATATTCGTTCGTAGTAATTGTTATTTGTTGATTTCCCCAACCATCTTTATATTGGACCGCCTTTAATTTTTTGCTTATTGGGTTTTACTTTTTAGTAGTAATTGTTTCGGACCAAGAAGTTGATTTTTTTTTTATCTCTATAATTTTTGGGGTTTAATGTAATAAATTTATGGGCAAAAGTTAGTTTTGGGGGTTTTATTTATCTGCTTTTAGTGGATTAAAATGGACAAAAGTTGCTTTACTTAGTTTTAATTCAAAGTTTTTGAATCACATTCATCACCATCAAATTAAGGCCTAATTGACTATGAAATGTTAACTTTTTACCATAACTATTCAATGCAATTGATTTTCTTACGTATATGTTATTATTATAATTTTTTTTTAACTGAGTTTTAGTGTCATTTGATTAAGTAACGTCAGAAAAATAAAAGGAAATATGATAACCTAGAAAAATAGATAAAAGTATTTTTGATATTTTTAATTTATTTGAATATGTTTTTTCGATAAATATAATTATTTTAAAAATATTATATTTTTCTAGTATTAAAAATGTTTTTTCTTCCCCTTTTTTTATTTTGTATAGTCTTAGGCCCAAACTTTTAAGGGTAAATTACAAATAGGTCACTTTTGTTTACATTTCTTCTTATTTTGCTCACTAAACTTTGAAGAATAACATTTGAGCCACTTATATTATCAGTTTGTTATGTTTTGATCACTAAGCTGTTAATTCTTGTTACACTGATGACGTGACACGACTTAATTTTAGTTTAATCTCTAAAGTTTAATTTTATCTCAAACTCTTTTAGCTCACATTATTGTTATTCACTGTCATTGACACTCTTGATTTCGTTCTCTCCTAAAAACGCTATCTGCCATCACTCATTATTGTCATTTCACCCGTTATAATTTGATGTTTTCTTCTATCATCGATGATACCAAAATATTTATTTCGTCGTCCTTTTTATAATGCACAATTTAATCTCTAAAGAAAGAAGCCTCAAAGCTGCTTACAAACTTCCACTTAAAAACAAAAGTCAACATGTATGATTCACCGTTATTGATCTTCTGAAATGACTCCACCAAACTATGATTTTTTTGTGATACCCTCTGTCATCTTACCATTTAAATTTATAATTAAAGTCCCTAAGTTTGAAGACCTTGATGAGCTAAAAATGATGAGCCTTTCTCTTTGCTCTTTTTACTTATTTTTTCTCTTATAAGTTTTGGGTTACAAGGATTTTTTTATTCTTTCTTTGGAATGGGTATTGGTGTTGGTTTTAAGGAATGTTTTGGGTTTTGGTTGAGCAAATGGTATAGAAGAGTTGATGATAGAATGGAGATAATGATGATTGTATGTTATCTATGGAGTAGTAACAATAGTGTGAGGTTATGAAGGTTGGTTGGTCATTTGATGATGGTGACATAAACCCGAATTAAAACCTAACTATAAATTTGATAAACTCAGTAAACGAAAAAAGAAAAAAGGAAAGGAAAGAAAAAGATGAGTTTTAAAGATGTTGTGATGTCATTTAACGAATCTCAACAATAAATAGCTCACATTTAACAAGAAGAACATAGTACACTCTGAACATTAATCTAATGATCGACGATTTAGATCTAATAAGGAAAGAGTTAAAGACTCGGTGTCTAAGATATAATTAATAACACAAATAATTAAAATATTACTTTTTAAAATTCAATTATCAAAATAAAAAGAATATCAAACAAAAGTGACATCGGATATACTTTACCAACTTTTTAAATTCAGCCAACCCACGTAACATTAAACAACACATTTTATCTTAGATTTTTTATTTTATTTAAAAAAAAGTAATATTTTATTTATTTGTCCGTACTTCGTAGTCTATTTGTTTTGTCGCGCCCGTTTTATATGTTTTCCTTTCCCCAAACAAACCGAAGCAACCGAAGACGAGACAGCATCTGCGATGTCGCAGGGGAGCGGTGACGGCAGGGGAGGAGGCATGGATTTCAATCTTGCGGAAGAGGTTCTGGCGGTTATACCGACGGACCCTTACGAGCAGTTGGATCTGGCGCGCAAGATAACTTCCATGGCTATCGCATCCAGAGTGTCCAAGATGGAAGGGGAAATTGGGAGGATGAGGACCTCAATGTTCGAGAAAGATCGTATCATTTACGAATTACAAGACAAACTATTACGATTGCACCAAGAGAATCAAGAGACCGAGTCCAGATTAAAGATTGCTCTTCAGGAAAATGTCAGTCTCTTCCATTTGTTTCTTAATTTCTTTTAAATTTATTGAAGCACTTTTTTCTGTTCTTTTTTGGACAGAATTAGAAATGCATTCGTTTTGTTCTTCTTCTTCTAATGGATTATATTGGTTTGTTTATTTATTTTTCTTCATTTTCTCTTTCCTTTTTCTCCTACTTTAAGGTATTTATATAGAATTGTATGAATTATATTGTTCATGATTTTGATGTCTTTGTGTTGTTCTTTTTATTGAAGATCAATCTTTCAAATGAGCGTGATTCATTAGCGATGACGGCGAAGAAACTTAGTCGTGATTTATCTAAGGTGAGATTGAAATTTTAATTTTATTTTCACGCATGTATTTTGCTAGAGATTAATTAAATAATTTACTTATGGAAATATGGTGAGTGAATAAGTTCATTAAGGTTCATAAAGATTATAACTCAAATGCACTAGCTGTGGATAAAATAAATTATGATTATAGAAAGATACTGTTAAATTTGTTGATTTCTTAATTGCTTTTAAGAAAATAGTTTACTGATAAAGTAGCTTAAGATATTGCTTTAATCTAGATAAGATATAGATTGTATAGTTAAACAAAATTCAGTTAAAAATCAATTATTGTTTGAAACCTGTGACTTGCTGGGTTCCTAAATGTTTAGCTTATTGTAGATTTCAAATTAAATCAACAATCTGTTTTGTTTTTTGTGAAATCTGTATATCCAGAAAAAAAAAAGCTCCAACAATTTTTGTTCAAAGTAGTGCATTTCCATACTTCTAGAAAATAGAGAATCGGAATGTGTACAAATATATTTGTAAAGTAACTGCTTATCACTGCACCTGTGAGATCTGTAACTTCAACCATGAAGTATCCTGTTACTTCAAAGCTTCTTCTGGTATAATATGTAAAATTAATTGTAGAAAATTATTTGTTCTTTCATATGCTCCTCCATTTTCTGGGAGATAAACAGGGCATTTTGTTCTCCAAGCATTTTTACTGGCTGTTTCCATATACATTTAAAATGCAGTCAGCAACCCATTTCTAATATCGAATTGCATGCTTATTACAATGTACTCATTCACAAGTGTTATGAGTCCTTTCCGTTTGCCTTCGGTGTTATAAGCAATACTAAAACCTAATGCTGTTTTGCTGTGAAACATAAAGATGTTAAAGGCTTAAGAGTTCACTAGCATTCTAAACATATTGGTATGTTACATTATGGCTTCTTGATTAAAGCGTTTTGAATGCTTAATTTCACATTCCACACTCTGGTTCAACCTGATATATGTAATGTAAGCATGTTTTGCTTCTATCTGGTAGCTATTCTTCTTGTAGATTTGAATGCTTTCATGGACATCCTGCCTTTTGTTGATGAAATCAGATAATATTTTTCTAATTTTTGATTTTTTTTCTTCTATAATCATGGTTGTTGGCGTTTCTCTTTGCTCGTCTGTTTCTCCTTTTTCTTTCAGTAATTACTGGAACAGCATCATATTATATTCATATGTATTTTATGTTGAAATTTGAAGCTTAGAGAATAACACATTCTAATTTTTGACAGTTGGAGGCTTTTAAGCGACAATTGATGCAATCTCTAACCGATGACCATGCATCCGTAAGATCTCCATATTTCGCCGTTCTAGTTGTTTATGCCTTTAATGATTCAATTGTTTTTCTGTAATTCATAATTAAATTTTGGTCGACTTTATCTGATTTTCATTTTCTCTGTTTTATTTCTGTTTGTTAAGATCTGTTTGAGAAGAAATCAATTTCTTTTGACATTGCTCTCAATCCTTTATAACAGGCAGCTGAAACAGTTGATATTGGGACCTGTGACCAGTCAATCCCTAAAGCCTATCCTGATCAGGGTATTATTAAGTTTTTCTTATTGCTTCTATTTTCTTCTGTTTTCTCATTCATAATTTCTCGCTTCAGAAATTTAACAATAGCCTATCCCACTTTTTTTTTCACAACTAACTCCTAATTTGTTGGCAATATTCCGATCAATGTTAATATCTCCTGCCACATAGATGATGGGATAAATGACTACACATCACTTCGTTCTTCTAATGGTTCAATGGACATGGGAAGCGCAATTGATGAAGGTAATTGGACAAGTTTATTAATTTTTTGTAGTATGTTAATGCCTACATATGGTGGAGCTTAAAGAACCAGCCCATATGTTAACGCATAATAGATTTCAAACAATCCAGTTAGAATCTGCACATATGTTCATGGTCTAAAATTTTAAAAGTGACATTGTTTGGGTCAAGTCGTGGTTTTGGATGGTTACCACTTGTGTCTTGACCCAAACTCAGGATGAGATCGGGAGAGTCTTATCCTAGGACCCTGGAAATATTAACTGTAAATTTGATTTTGATCAAGTTGATGTATTAAGGATGCTTACTATTCTCTTACCACATCTATATATATCCGTTTTGAACCTAAAGCACAGTTTTATCCTTTTTATTGGGTGTATTTCTTCTATTCTCCTCACATGTTGTCTCAAGATTTGTCAGGTTTGTGATGGTGCATTCAGTGTTATCACCTTATGCATTTTAGTGGTAATGAGAACATCTTTTGTTGGAGCCGTGTTAATTACTTTATCTCCACTGTCAGGGTTATCTTGATATAAAAATGTTAGACTTCATTGAAAAGCCTTATCTTGGTAAGTACTTTAAGCTGATATTTTTCCAACAGCCTCAGGACATGGTGGAGAAAGATTTGCTATAACTCCATATGTCTCGCCACGGCTGACTCCTGAAGCTCCAAAAGTTATGTCCGTAAGTGGTTCCTCTAGGGGTTATTCAGCTGCTGGGTCTCCCCAGAGAACTGGTGCAGATTCTCCAACAAAGCCTCACTATGGTGGGACTTCACCCTTGTGGTACTTGTCAAGCCAGCAGTCATCCGCATCTAGCACTCCTCCTCGTAGGCATTCACTGCCAGGTATCCTGATAGTCCAACTCATTTTGTTTGTCTATGATCAGTTCTGTTCAAAATTTCTTACATTTTTGAAATAATTTTAGCACGGAGCCCTCGAATCGATGGGAAGGAATTCTTCCGTCAAGCCAGGTAGTCTTTTATTCTTTTCTCAAATTATGATCCTTGAAAGTTCCTGGCCCTTCACAAGCTGATTTAAATGTGTAATGTAGGAGTCAGCTTTCGTATGAACAGTTCAGTGCATTTTTGGCAAACATCAAGGAACTGAATGCTCAAAAGCAAACTCGAGAGGTAATATTATTTCAGAGAGTTCAGTGTCAAATGTTTTGTGCTTGGTAAAACTGTTTGTTTTTTCAGGAAACTTTGAGGAAGGCTGAAGAGATTTTTGGGGCAGAAAACAAAGACCTGTTTATATCATTTCAAGGATTGCTAAATCGCAGCATTCGCTAACGAAAAAAAAAATCATGAGAAAAATCATCTCGATTACTTATTGAACTAACTCAATGGGTATTTATACGAGTAAATTAAGTAACACAGGGGAAAAAATCCCTAATAATTAAATCCCTAAAAAATGGGTAAGCTAATTGGTGTAAAGATATCTCACATGTGGACCAATTTTTCTTTGATAAGAGTGTGATATTTAAATGTGGACCTATTCTCTAAAAGGTCTTGTTTAATCTGCATCTGTAAAAGTTTCTATCCGTTGATGATTATATGATGATTATTTTTGGCCCAATCTTGAATTTAAAATAAAATATTAATAAGAATTTATATATGAATATTTATATTTAAAACGAAATAAAACTTATTTTAATTATCAAATATGAATTCGAATTCAGTGGAATGATGTTATTTTCTTAAACAAATTTACTTTCAAGTAGTTTTAGACTTTTTAGTCATGTGAGATATATATTTTATATTTTTATCTTTAAATCAGTTGATGTATTTTTTATATTTTATGTTTATATGATTGTCTTATAAACTCATTATGATATATTCGTATTGTTTGAAGAGAAATGGTGTAGAATGAAAGAAATCCGGAGTAGAATGATTTTTTCCCTTCTTTTAAATTCATCATTTTTTAATAGTACGAGACATAACAATATAATATTTATTTAAATTTTTTTTTTTGTCTTTGACAACGCATGTATACTATATAAATGTAACTTATCAAATTTATAACTTTTAGGGAAAACAACATTCTTCTTTATATCATTGACGTACATAATGAATTCTTTTTTTTTTTGTCCTTTTGATTCCCAAGGAGAAAATGAATTCTTTTTTTTTTGTCCTTTTGATTCCCAAGGCTTCTCTTTAACTAATCCGGATTGATCGGGGTCACACATCTGGTTGTAGTGAGTGAGTCTCCTAGAGGGATTTTCTACATACACAAAGACTCGAACTCAATACATGATTTCTCTTTAAATTCATTATATGAGTCTTTAGACATAATTTATAATCATAATTCAAATTCATTATTTGAGTCATTAGACATAATTTATAATCATAATTCTAAGATTATTTTAAATTCATTATTTGAGTCTTTAAATATAATTTATAATCATAATTCGAAGATTATAAATATAAAGAAATCTATAATCGACATAACAAGATATAATATCAGAATACAATCATCCTTGACATAGATCCGACCTAAACCAAAATAAGAGAGACTCATAGCACAGTTTCTTTTCTACACGAGACTGCACTGCTGAGGAAATGTAGAACCCCCAAGGTTTGCCTCACAATTAATGGAAAAATAAGATAAAAAAGAGATGGGAATAATATATATAATTTTAAAGATAATAAATACTACAACTTTTTCAATAAAAAGCATGTTGAACCAGATACCCTTTCAAATTCATTAAGAAAGCTCCCAGAATAAAGTTCATAAAGCAAAGAAAAAAAGAGTATAAAATTAAAAAAATCTATAAAAAGGGTATCAACAATATTATTTGATATGAAAATAGCCTTCATTTTTTTTTTTGCCAAACTTCTCCAGCCTTTCTCATCGTGTTGATGCCTAACCTGCTTCCAGAGAATGATGAACATTATCACTGCTGCCAAAATTTATTCTGATGAATTTTAATCTTACATTAAAATTAAAATAATAAATCTATTTGATTAAATAAGTTAAAATTTATATCAAAAGTAATGCATTTATAATATTTTGGTTTAAATATGTTAGAGGTTCTTGTGCTATTTCAAAATTTAAAATTTAGTCACTATAATTTTGTGATATTAAGTTTATGTATTATTTTTTATTTGAAGATCTTGGTACCTCCTCTAATTTTAGTTCAATTTAGCAGGGGGGGGGGGAAACTAGGGAGTTATGGTATATTTTGCATGTAGTTGAAATTGAAGGCAAAATCTTACAAGCCCTGTGTTAGATTCTGTGGCTATATTACTAGAATACTGCCTTTACTGTTATTTTTGTGTTGTACACTACGGCTTTAAGAGTGCAAGGAATACTAATCTCATGCTCCCCCTTTTATCTTTCTTTTTATTTCTGCCCTTTGCCTTTAATGTAGGGACCAAACTAGATTGAAACAATATAATTAAATTGTTTAACTTCAAAATTAACAAAGAACTAACAAAAAATTAAATAAATAAATGACAACTAGTGTTTAATTTGTCTAGGGTTAAAAGTGACGGGATCTAAAAAGTAGGGGTATGTGTTAATTTCATTGATTTGAAAACTAATAAACAAACAAAAAAACCAAAAATTAAAATGACACTTTTTTCTTTAGCTAAATAATTTAATTGTTTTTTATTTGATTAATAATTTCTTTATTTTTCAATTAATTTTTTTTATTTTAAGTCTAATTTTTAATCAAATTTGAACATACTTGTCAACCACTTTCTATTTAGTTTCAATTTCTATTTTTGACAATAAATTGTCTTTTTCATTTTTACTCCATTATTGGGTTGTTTATTCTTTCCTTTTAACTTCATTTTTGATAATTTTGAACTGAATACTACTCAATCACTTTAGAACATTTTTGTAGTTTCAATTTCTATTTTGACAACAAATTTCATCTTTTGTTCATTTTAGCTCTTAATTTTACATAATTTTCTTATTCTTCAATTTCCCCTTCGCTTTAAGTTTATTTTGATCAAGATTAAACTATATGATCCTCTACTACTATAGAATATTTACGTAACTTTAATTTTTCTTTTTGAAAACAAATTTTCTATTTTTCAATTTATTTTCTCAACCTTGTATTTTATTAAATTTGATCCTCTAATTATAACTCTTTACAAATTATTTGTTCTGATCAATTCTTTGCCACTTTTATACTTTCGTCAATAAATGATTCTCAAAATATGTTCTTTAAAAAATAACATTATAACAGATTATATAATTGTATGTGATATTTGATTTATTAAATAACATTATAAATCTTATTTAAATATACAAAAAATAAAATAAAGAAATATATTTACGTATAATCACCCCCAATGTTGGATAAAAAAATTGGGTTTTCAAATTCAAGTTAAAATTCTCTCTAAGTCTAATTTGACTCAAATTCATTATTCAAAAGATAATATCTTTTGAGTATCACAGCCGCAACAACTTGCCAGGGAAACGGTGCACTTCCATATTCCCTATATATACTCGGCAAATAAAACTTGCACTCAAAATCATAGAACAACACTGTCCAAACAAATTTACATAACATTATTGATTTCCCTTCTCAATCTTTCCTGTTTCTTCTTCTTTTTCCTATGGCTTCTGTTCCAGAATTCTCCGATGATTATTCATTCTCCGATGATTTCTCTCAGTTCCAAAACCCACTGCTGATTCCCCAAGAAAACTGCATTGATGATATAGGCGGTGCAATTCCTAGCTCTGCAACATGCGGTGAAGAAATAAGTTTCCTGATGTTTTTGGACAATGGTGGAGTTGGTGTTTTCCAACAAGAACATAGTAATCTTTCACCTTCAGTCCCGACAGCTGTTTTTCCTGACAACAACATTGCTGCTGGTTGTGGCATTGATGGCAGATATCAATTGCAAGATGTCTGTGATGAGTTTGGAGAAGAATGCAATAGGATTCTTCATCAGGATTTCAAGCCAGTAAACATGGGAGACAACTGGGTATATGGTTTTATGTAAACCATTAATCAGATAAATAAATACTTAATTTTCTTGAATAAATACATTTTTTTTCTTCCGACAGGAAGTTCAAGATAATCGAATGGTGCCGGCGGTGCAAGACAACAATCATAAGGCTGTTCGGTATTCGGTAGAAGAAAGGAAAGACAGAATTCTCAGATACGTGAAGAAGAGAAACCAAAGAAATTTTAACAAGACAATTAAGGTCTCTTTTAATCTCTCTATCCTACAAAAATCATCATTCTTTTTAGAAAAATTTAAACGACATAATAAATGTTATCATGATGGATTATAATTCATGTGCACATTGACTGGATTTCATTGCATGAACAAACACAGTATGCATGTCGAAAAGCCCTGGCTGACAGAAGGGTTAGAGTTCGAGGAAGATTCGCAAGGAACAACACTGAACTTCATGAAGATGAAATAGAAATGAGAGAGGAAGATAACAACACTTCACCAATTGAAAAACACTTGAATTACTGTGATTCTGTACAGGTACTTTATTAATTTCCCACTTTTTTTCTTCTTTCCATAAATTCAAACTTCAAACAATGATGTTGCCTTGTTTGTTTCATCTCTGCAGATCAAGCATGATGAGCTGGATGAGTGGCTGCAACAGGCTATGGCAAATCTCATCTATTTACCACATATGGCTGGTTAATATTTATGTTCAAAGCTTGTGCTATTCGGATTATTTAAATTTTTTTGAAGTACCGAGTGATCATTTGAATATATAAAAGAAAAATAAGTATAATCAAATTAAAGTTTTTTTTATTATTAATATAGGGTAAATAAAAGGTAATATTTGTTCAAATGTAACTCTCAATCATTTGACATTGAACACTCACACCCTTGACATTCATGGTCTCGAACTCGTAACTTCAAAGAACAACAACAATTTTTTTACTACTGAAGTCGTTTGGTTCGTGCTCAAATTTGAAGATGTTGAATACGGGAAACATAAGCCTTTTTCTTTCCCAGTGACCATGCTAATGTTGGGGTTGTTATGGCAATTGTTTTCAAATTTACTTTATTCGCTTATGGAAGTACAAAGCAAAAAGGTTCTTAAATTGATAAATTCCATTATTTCGTTGTCAAGTACCCAGAAAGTAAGGTTAAAATGACCATATGTGTCATTTGTTTCCTTTTACATTTTTAAAGGGACAATTACGACCGTTTTAAATAGAATTTTGTTTTTGAAATTACAACTATGAGATACAATCATAATCATAAATAATACGTATTTGAATAATCATAATCAAAATTATATGATGTGAGAATTGAATTCGAGTGTCGAGTATCTGATTTCGGGATAGTAAAATAGTTAGTTTGTGTCTTGTTCCATGAAATCCGGATACATGTCGGTTCAAGTAACATGTTATTCTATACAAATTGTAATTATTTTAGACATTAATCAATCTTAATTTTTAAAAATTAAAAAACAGATAAACGTAAAAATTTAAAAGTCTTAATCACATTATTCAAACATGGGATTTTAAGGATTTAGGAGAAATAATTTAGAAACATGAGATGAAAAAGTTTTGTTAAAACAATAGTAATCTAATTTAAAATAGAGAAATAGGGAGTCCTATAATCAAATAGTTGGTTACCCGTAAGTGGGGTTTTACGATCGACCCATGAACTCATGAAAATCAGTGGGTCGTATATTTGACCCAATTTTCTTTCTTTTCTTTTAAAAAATTTTTAATAATTTTAAATTATATGAATGGATCGACGAATCAAATATTACAGATCAAATATTTTTAAACACTTCTTACCTCAGTTTTTATTACTCTCCTAAAATATTAATTTTATATATAGCCTAATATTTTTAAGGTAACGTATCATATATGGTTGTTAATAGAATAAAGGTGTGAAACAGTAAGAAGGGTCCTAAGATTATGAAATGAAAGGGGAATATTTGACTGAATTAGCAAGTGTTTGCCTTGTGAACCACCTTCAATATTCCATTCACTTTATTTATTCATTTGATGCCAATATCATCACTTCACTTCTTTCTTCTGCAACACTTTATTCTAATTTCATTTTAATTATCCCTTTAATATTCAATCTCGTTGAATTAACAATAATTTTGACAAAAATGATATGAGAATTATCATATTTTTCATTTGTAGTTCAACATTATTTAAATTTAATTGTATTAGAGTATTTTTGCTAATACAAGGATTAAATTAATCTATCGATCCTGTAGTAGAAGGACCTACCGAGTACTTTCACCCAAGGATTTCATATATTTATGTAAGGATATGAAGAATTACCCGTCCAGCTCAGTTGGTAGAGCGCAAGGCTCTTAACCTTGTGGTCGTGGGATCGAGTCTCATGGTGGGCAATTCATAATTCTGACTGCCGGATGTCTTTCACGGAAATTGCTCTTAACCTGGCGTTGGGGGCCAGCTAACCTTATCTCCCCCTCACCCCATTACATATGGGAATATGATCAGCTAATTTTATGTAAGGATATGAAGAGATACCTACTTCGGCTAGCCCATTATTTGCACCGACCTCATCACTGTTATTAACCTCATTAATTAGGCTCACTAGATCACTTTCCTTGTTAGGCCCGTCAGATGACCCACAACTTTTGAAAATACCAAATTATTATACGTAGAGACAAACATATGATTTTATGTTATCGTATGAATTTAAAAGTTATATTAAAAGTTTATGGACGTAATATTGTAAACTTTTATAAGTATAAATTAAATTTTTAATAGAAAAAATATTTTTTTAAATATACGAGGATTTGATATCGTCAGAAGTGTAAAATAGATTTTTAATAAAAAATATTTCATTAGGGGTGTTTGTAGAGTCAATTGCGAGTTGGGTAGTGATTTACTCGTGCTCGTTAAAAAAATTGTTGTTTGACTTAGCTCGTTGCCCGTTAAAATTTTGCTCTACTCGTGTTCGTTAAAAAAAATTGTTGCTCACTGCTCGTTATGCTCATTACTCGCCTTATTGCTCGTTAAATTCACCAAAATTTTTATCTTGTTTTTTAACTATAAGTAAAATCTACTAATACTATGTAGAGCTTAATATAAACATAAATTAATAAATTTAATCAAAAATTATCAAAAGAGTGTATGAAACAATTTTAAAGTCTAAACTCTAAAGCAACTATCCACAAATACATTAAAATAATAATTAGGGTTTGATTAAAATAATAATTAACAAATGAGAGAAGCATAGTTATAGCAATAAACATGTACAAGGAAGCAATACAAAAAGTAGGTAGTGATAACGTAAATTAAGTCCTAATTGTATATTTACAATATTTTAATGGTCATAATGATCACTATCATTGTATTAATCAAATCCACCTGGGTCAGGTAGAACTGGGGTATATAATATATATATGTGAGAGAAGAAGCAACCATAAAAGCATAACAAGCAAAGCACAAACCACTCTAGTATGACCATAAAGACTCGGTCATATTAGCCTGATCAACCATGTCCATACAAAAAAAGGACTTGGACTGATGAGGCGGCAAGTTCTCGGGCGAGCCTGTGCCGGGGTTTGACGACGTCGAACCGAATTGGCGCATCCTCATCTGAACCAACTCGGCTTGAACAAGTGCCAATTGAGTTTGCAGGGAATCGACCTGTCGTTGCAACGACGAAATGGCTCCTACACAGCCGTAGACGGGGTCACGAACCCTGGCGTTTGCCTCGTACACCATCGAACTCACTGCATCGCTTCGTTGGTGTTCCGGCAATTCCTGCAAAAGATTAATCAAATCTTTTGTTTATGAAAATCTATCGTTTTCAATCATCATTGCAGCTTCTTTTTCTTTCCCTTATTGGATGTTGAGCGGATTTCCCACTTTGGGTCAGTTTCGTTTCCATGATTTTCATAATAAATTATTAAGTAGGCATCTATGGAGATATTGTTGCTGCCTTGCACACGTATGCATGTCTTCCTTTTGAGTGGTCCAAAAGTTTTTTAATACCAGGAATCAATTGTTGCCGATTGTGGTTAAATTGTACAATGAAAGCACAAGATTATATCCATATTTATCTACATATCTATATATATTCGAATGAATGGAGTCAGTGATAAAAAAAACTTTGTTTTCTTAAAAGACCTAGATTTGAATAACTATGTAGATAAGATATATATTATCAATAGTTAAAAAAATATTTACAAACAAATATTATTTTGTAATCACTTCAAATTATATATATATATTAATCATCTAAATGAAGTATATTAGTTTCACATTCACATATAATATGTAATTCATCTAAAATTTGTTATTGTATGTCTGCCAAATAAACAAAGATTGTACATATATCTATTAAAACTAAAAGAAAGGCATAATTGTTAACTGTTCTACTAATATATATATATATATATATATGTGTGTGTGTGTGTGGATTTTTGATTTAGTGATCAAGTTTTATTTTTTACAATTTCAAATTTATGTTACACATAAAATCTTAGTATCTTTTTAATTATTTTATGGTTTATTGAAAGATACACGTGAATGTATATGTAGATAAAAAATATTTTTTTTTATAAAAATATGTTTATTAAAATTTATTTGTTAAATAAATTTTAATGGTGTGATAAATGATTTATATTTAAATTTATAAATCTCGTGCCCAATCCTTTATATTTTTGACAATTTCAAATTTATGTTATACATGAATTGGTTCAAGTGGTAAGTAGTTTGATATTGCTTAAGTAATATCTCGAGTTCGAGTTCTTATATATACAGAAAATCTCTGTTGAGTCCTTATGTATGCAGAAAATCCCTACTGGGAGACTCGCCCACTAAAATTAGGTGTGCGACACAAGTTGATCCGGTAATCGGGAAGGCAACAAAAAAAACTTTTAATTTATCATTATCCTAACCAAATTATTTTTTACATTACTAGTGTACTAAATAATAATTCTTTATTTAATTTAAAGATTTCATAAAGTAACAAAAAGAAAAAAAATAAAATTAATACGTACTTTAACTTAATAAAGAATAAATTAATAATTTCAACTAGTAAATCAACCAATAATATAAAATATAATTAGACTTTTAAGTATAATGTTTGATTATTCATGTCACCTTCACACATCATATTGTGCAATAAAATCAATGTAATTAAACCAATGTTTAATAATTCAAAATTTGTTTGCTTGCATCAAATATCATGGCCTTTTACGATCTAATTTCATACCTACCACTGTCATTGTAATTAAACCAATGTTTTTAAAGCTTCAATTTACATGTATTTTCTATAATAATGATGATGAGAGTTATAATAATACTTTAATTAAAGAAGAAGAAGCTTTGGCTGGGTTTAAAATATTCAAAAGTTCCCAAAGTGACAAAAAAGTTTAAGCTAAACACTATATTAGTCTTAAGCTTTGAACCACTTCACATGTAAACCTGCCTTCCGAAAAAAGCTAAAGCCAAAGTTAAAATTATATTTAACCCATTTTCTCCTTTTAATTGCCGGGAATCCTTTGGTAAAATATTGATTTTCCTATTTGATAAAAGAATATAAGATTAATAGTCTATAGTTAAGAACCAAACATAAACTGTAATTAATTTTCTTAGAAAAAAATGGAAAATAATAAGATAATGTATTTTTTCTTGTATATTTGTATCTTATTATGAATTTCTCTAATGAATGTTCTGGGTCCAAATTGGTTTTCCTTTTGGAAAGATGATGAAGATGCTTTTGCTTTCCCAATCATTTTCAGTCTTTTGGCTAACTAACAACAATAGGCAAAATCCTTTGTTTCCCAATCATGGTGCTCATGCATGCCTGAAATCTTGTGCTAAAACCCTAAAACTATGGAAGAACATGATACAGAATTCATTTAAATAAAATGAAAATTTTCCAAATTATTTTAACAAGTTATTAGCCACTAGAGAGAGAGAGAAATGAACCTGTAACATCTTGTTAACATTGCTAGCACCAAACACCTTGTGGACACTAGCAAACTTGTGAGGCTCATCAGCATGAAAATAGGGAGCGAATACACAGTCCGGCGCACATCTCCGTCTGAGTAACTTGCATGCCGCGCATGGCGATAATGCGCCGTGCTTTTTACCGTTTTCCTTCATTCCTCCTCCTCTTCTTCTTGATAAGCCTGCAATAAACAAACCCTAGAAGCTTTCCACAATGAGAAGACAACTCTTTTTTTATTTTTTTAAATGTTCAATGAGAAGAAAAGATGTAGGAAGGGGAGGGGAGAGTTGAAGGAGGTTGGGTGTTATATAGAGAGATTCTTATGTGACATCAAATCTAGTGGGGGCCAAAAAACCAAAACCCTAGATTTTGTAGACAAAAACATCGTTTTTCCTAAGATCTTTAGGTCCATCCTTATGTGATATTTTTTTTCTTCAAAAAATTAATTAATTTGTAAAGAAAACAAGTTATTAGTTTAATAATAAAATAATTTATATATGATTTTTTAAAATTTTAATTGATTGATAAAGAGAATTTATTGAGTAATCTTAATAGTAAAAATATTTTTTTTAGAGAATTCAAATTCAAGCAATTATATTTGTATGATATATGTAAATTGTCAATAAATTAAAATTACAATATACACACGGAGCTAGGAGTGTAAATTCCATTTTATTTTAATGATGAGTGTCAACATATTTTTCATCATAAAATTTACAACTGCCGTTCTATTAAATAAACTCTTATATTTGGAAATTTTTCTGTTGGTATATCGATTTAAAAGATATGTATTAATCTAAACTTGCATGATAGTGAGAGCTTTGAGCGTAATTACTCCATTACCTGTCAATTTCAAGGAATTTATTTAGGGAAAGCAAATTGTTTTAAAGGTATTCATGAATCTGTCTCAATAACAATTAAGGATGAAGTAAAAAATGGCTAAATTTTATAAATAGTCACTCAATTATTGACACATTTTTTGTTTTGGCGATATGACTATAAATATTATAAAATAATCACTCGATATTTTTATTAATAAGGAGAAGATATGAATGTTTCTTAGTAAAATAAGATAGTGAGTTTTCAAAGTTTACATTTTGTGTCATTTTGGTCCTAGTTTTGAAAACTTTATCATTTTTTTGTTTTTTAGGGTGATATCATAAAGTTCTTTTTTTCTTTTCTTTTTGGGTATACTTTTCTCTTCTGCGATTTCAATTTTGGTTTGATTTATGTGTTTTGGAGGGGGAAAAGGATCTTTATTAACGATGAATGAATACTAATCTGATTAGTTTTTGTTTATTCAATTGTTTTGCAGTACATAAAGTTTAGTTCTCTTTGCATGTGTCCCAAGTTGACCCTTTTGTTCAATATGGTAACATATACAAGTCTTGCCTTCTTGCACCTTAAGCTATGGAACGACAAGCGCGAGATTAGGGCTATAAACGAGTCAAATTGAGTTTGACTCAACTCGAAAAGTTTAAAATGAGTTCGACTCAATTCGTAAGTTCACGAGCTTAAAATTGTCAAACTCGATTCGAAATCAAAAATTGGAGTTGGACTCGAAAGCTCACAAAATTATATTTTCTTTAAAAAAAACTCATGAGCTACTTGATACCGAATTTGAAAGCCCACGAGCTTAAAATTATCAAGCTTGACACAAACTCGAAATAAAAAATTGAAGCTAGACTCAAGCTCAAAAAATCTTGAACTCGAAACATACTCAGACATAGCTCGAACCTTAAATACATGAAAATCTTATATTGTATTTTTAAAAACAACATTTAAATGTTAATATTATTAATAATTTAATAATTAAAATTGTAATATATTATTTCTTTGAGTTGCTCACAAGCTTTTTAAGTCAGATATCAAGTAGCTCGCTTTGGCTCGTTAAGAACTCAAGTCGAATTCGAACTCTAGTTGAGTCTATTCAATTCTAGTGTTGACTGAACTTTAGTCGAGTCGATTCAAATAATTCAAAATCTGTCTTATCTCATTTACATCTCCGTCTCATCTCATTTGCATCCCTATGGGACATTGCAATGTATGAGAACTTTGTAGAGCCGTATAGCATTATCAAGGAGACGAAGAAGCTTGAGAAGGGTAATGTGAAAGATATTATCTCATCATGAATACGAAACTGAGTGCCGACAGCCTATTGCCCATTTCAAAACTTTTGCTTCCACACTCTAACACTGTCCCTACCATTGAACGCTTTGCATATACATATAAAACGGACTGCCATTGTAGAGCACCGTGTGGCGGGCCTTGCGGCAGCTGCCGCCATTATGGTTGAAGGCGTGCATAATTATTAATGAATCTCTATCTAATATTGATATCCAATGATCAATGTCAATATTGAATCATCTAAATATCAATATTAAGATATGAAAAATAGAGATTTTTGACTTCTAAATGATCCCTAAAGTATTTCTAATGATCCTAATATTCATCTAAGTGATTAACAAATTAAATGAAGTTGAAGTTGGAAGATAAGAGGAAAGTGAAATAAGAAAGAAATAGGGTTTACTTTCAAGAAAAGTAATCCGACTCTGTCGAAAATATTCCATGCTTATGAATAGTAATTCAAAAAATTAAAAAGAAGAAGAAAATGAATAACGGTTGATTTAAGTGGTAAGTAATTTGATATCGTTTAATTAATTTTTAAATTCAAAGCTTTGTGTATATAAAAAATTTCAACTGAGACACTCACTTACCAACATCTCCCTTAAATATTCTTTCCAATAAAATATTGTTCCTAACACTATCGAAACGGAGCTTTAGAGTACTATTTTACTGCACAAACCAATTAGCTTTTCTCCTGCGATATGACATAACTTAGTTGTAACGTTCACCCTTTATATTATTAACTAATTGCTTTACAATTGGATACTATTTTGTTATATGTGTTTTATATTTGGTTTAAATTTGTTAAATATTTGTATACTATATTAAAATTTAACTACACTTTTGATGATTATAAGAAATAATATATTATTTTTAGTCTCGTAGTTTAATTAGTCTCCTATATTTGGTTTAAATATGTTAAATTCTCAAAATAAATTTTCAGTTTCTTACATGTTAAATGTTCATGCACTCCAAAGTTTTGAAAATTGTATATTATACCCTGAAAATATATTTGAAATTTTAATTATTTAGCCTTAGAATTTTAAAAAATTCTCATGAAGCTTTAATTTTTTAAGAATATTTTTAATTAAGTTTCCTTAAAATTATTAATTTTTTATTAAGACTCCCAAAATTTAAATTAACCCCTCCCCCATTTAGAAAAAAAAAACTCATTAAATCTCTAAATTTTTAAATTCTTTTATTAGACCTCAATTTTCTTTTGAAAGTTTGATTAGGTCCCCTCAAACTATACCACAGAGATCTACCATCAGAGAATACCGATTATTTTTTTATCATATTACTAAATTGATACCGTAGAAATATACATATCCTTTTTAAGAAAAATGATTTAAAGCAAAGTGATTAAGAGATTGAAATATAATTTTGCACGAATCAAGTTATCTCAGTAGTAAGAGATTGTTATTATTCTTTTATATCCTGGATTCAAGCACAACGTCTGTAGCGTTCATTGTCAAATAATTACACCATTTTTTTTCTTTTCAACATTTTTATTATTTTATTATTTAAAAATTAAAAAATTGTATTAGTTGGGGTATAATAACCCCACCCAGCTTTTGTACCAACCCCCTGTTTTGCTCCCGAAAATCGGGGAAAAGAATAGAAAGAAGGTGATTTCTTTTTTACTCCATATTTCACTCCATTCTTTCTCTTTTTCCCCTTTTTTTCGGGCCAATGTATAGCTTAGGGAGTGGTCGGCCGGTGGTTCCTCGGCCACCCGGGTGGTTTCCGGTGAGAGTAACCGCCCTTTGCGACGGTGGTGAGGTTTAGGCCGCCTTGGCCGAAAGCAAGGAGGAGTGAGGAGAGATGAGCAAGTTTTTTTTTTGGGTTCGTTTGGGGTGTCCACGCTCGTCGTTCGGAGCTTGGGTGGTCACCGTTGAGTGGAGGGGGAGTTGTGGCCGGCGAGGGAGTCGTTTGAACCTTTGCTTTTTTGGTTGCTGCCGTGTGATAGTGAGAGAGATAGAGAGTTTGAACGGGGAGGAAGTCTTTGGTCTGGCTTCCTTTGGTCGTGTAGGGGTCGCCGGTTGGATTAGGATAGTCAACAACCAAGTGGCCAGCGTGTGAGGGCCGGAGAGTGTAACCCTCTCAGACCGATGTGGTTAACCCGATTCGATCTTGAGTGTCATATTAGGGTCACCGGAGCTACCCACCGTAAAAATAGCGGAAAATTTAAAACTTTTTATCATAACATATAAACTTATAAAATCATTTATCAGTATGCAGAAATAAAACAAATTTTTATTCTCATATATAAAACAAAATACAATTACATACCCCCTAATCACATATATCATACACTGCAAGTAACGCCGAAAAAACTCCCTTATTGATGTCGATAGATGCACTGGTACAATTCTTTTAACCTGCAATGGTGAGTAATAGAGTGAGCTTTGGAAAGCTCAGTAATACAAAACTACCAGATGATGCTGAAGAACGTGCAGATACAGATAAACATATATTTCCAAATTGGTTCCGAACATTTACAGATTTTTATGCTAAGCGGAGATCCTATTGATATTTCAGATGATAACTGACAATGAGCTTTTAGTTCAGAGAAATATTTCGGATGAATGAGTTCAGGAGATCAGAATAGGTTATCTAGTGTATTCCCATAAAACCAGTAAAGAGATACAGATCTTTTTTTAAAACAGTAGCAGTTTAAAAACATATTTTATTCAAAAAACCATATTAATCCCACCAACCGAACACTCCATAATGTGTAGGTTCCCCAGAACCATACACCCACCTACACGCCAAGTAAGGCCCTGAGCACAAAGCAGAGGAGCTTGCAGTAACAGTAATAGTAATAGTAACTTCCTCCAACCACACCCTCCCATAAAACATTTATCAAAAATCATAGTTTTCCCTCCAACTAAACACTCCATAATGTGTAGGTTTCCCAGAACCATACACCCACCTGCACTCCTTGTAAATTTCATAATTCCATAAATCAGGAATAATTCATATTTTCCAGTGAAAATATGATAACACATTTCAGGTATGCATACTTCATAAACCAGTAAATTTCATGATTTCATAAATCATGTACAATTCATATTTTTCGATGAAAACCATAGTCGGAGATCACATACCATGTTGCCATGGTTCATAAAC